CCCCCCCCCCCCCCCCCCCTCTCCGCCGGTCCAGGAGACTACCCTGGATCCGCCTGTACCCCCCTGCACATCTAGGCAGCTTTTTTTTTGAATATGCTGATTTTATGAAATTTGCCCTCGTAGTGGGGGTTGGATAGCTGGTCGCTCTAGGAATGGCAGTATTTGGAATAAAGTGATGGTTTTTAGCACATAGGGAAAGTACAGTGAAAATAAGCGAAATCCTTTTGAGAGGGCAAAACGAATGTACGGATCGCAGTGAGGCTGTCCTGAAAAACTTTGCAAAAAACCGGCAATCTTTAAGGATTATGACAGTCACTGCCAAGGTTTTTTTAACAAATTATGGCATAATTCCCTTTAAAAAAAAGCAAACAAACAAGAAAGTGCAAATTGCCTAAAAGAGAAGAAAGCACGAAAAAAAGATGTGCTCTGCTTTAAAGAAAAGCAGATACACAGTAGATGTGCTGTCAAATCAGCCGTGGAACATAAGAGTTTTGTTTTCTTTTCATCATCTCATTTGTCCTCCTCAACTCCTATTGTCACGCTTCTGTTAACTATTCTTTTCATACATGACAAATATTGAGGCTGCACTGATGGTTCCCACTCCAAATCGCTTCGTAATCAATGTTTGCAGCTAAGGGATGAAACACGGGTTGCTAACTTATGTGTGCCTTATAATATGCCATTTCCAACAACCTTTCTAGGCATAAATTTTGGTAGTACAGCCGTCTAACACGTTGCTGCTGAATGTGAAGACGAGTGGTTCGATTCGCTTCTGGTGGTCTACGTCTGTTTGTAAAAGAGAACCCCTGCCCTCCCCTGTGGCAGGGACTGATTTTTAGATGTGGCGCAGCATTGGTGAAAGCATTGGAAAAGTTGTCAATTAAATAGTCAGTTGAAGGAGCGGACTATAAATTAACAGTCATCCCGAGTAGTCATGTAAAAATCGTGCACTTACATGATTTCTGACGGGAAATTCACACTTTTATCGTACTGGTCACTTTTTTAAGCGTGTTTTTTTTGTCGTATTCTTATTTATTGAAATCTTACTTAATCTTCATCTTTCGGAACTTATGAGAGAATAATTATTATTCACCGATCTTATTTTAGTGAAATTTTTATCTTGACTTCATGAAATTTTCGCTTCATCAAATTTTAAACGTGAAATTTTGACTTCACTAAATTTTGAACATGAAATCTTGATTTGAAGTTTTGAACATGAAGTTTTTATCCCGTGAAAATCTGACTTAAGCGTAAATTTTGACTTAATTTCAAAAAAAGGCTCACGTAAGCTTTCAATATAAAAGCTTCAGGTTCTTTTAATTTCTCTAAAAGGTAAGTGATTTAATCTTACAGTAAAATGTCGAGATTTTTTGTAGACGCCGATAAGCCAATGTGTGAAGGCAAGCGATTTTCGTCGTCATGGTGGTGTGACATTCAGTGGTCTGGCTGAAGGTGAATATCTGGTACAAGTGGAAACAATCTCGATGGCCTCTCTCTCATCGCATGGTGTCAAAGAAATTGCTGTTTCGCATAAGTTATTCACAGTGGTAAAACCAACAGTTTTCACACCAACTGTAAGTATTTGGCTGTTTTTATTACCTTCAAAATTTGATCGTTGTACTTAAAGATTCATGTTTTAGCTTATCTTTTTTTTTTATTTTTATGCGTTTTTGCCGTGCAGCGCTAGAGCGCTGCAACAGGCAGCAAAAACGCATATT